ATGTTTATAGTGGGGTTATTTCGACTCATGTCGTTTTTCGGCTTGTAATTTTCGGGCAATTTCTGATATATATATATATATATATATATATGGTGAGTGGGCCGAACGATTACAAAAAAGGTTTGTCTTCGAAGCTCTGATAAAACAACGTTATCTTTATGATGGCGTAAGTTTTTAACACAGACACGCACCCTAAACACGCATATATATATATATATATATATATATATATATATATATATATATATATATATGTATATTACATCATCTTTACTCCATAAAGACGGTGTAAATTTCATATATATATATATATATATATATATATATATATATATATATATATATATATATATATATATATATATATATATATATTATATTATATATATATATATATATATATGTTAATTGTAATTATTTTACTCCTAAATTTCTTTGTATTAATAAAAAAAACAAAACAAATAAGTTTATGCTTACTTATTTAACTTAAATGTCATTTATTTAAAAAGAAATCAAATAAGTTCCTCTAAATAATATAAGTAATATTCTTCCAAAAAATAATGGTAAAAAGAAATAGCTTTTGGCTCGAATCTCCAATCTATAGCAGTGATCATTGTCTAGGATTCATGCAACACTATCAGCATGAGAGAGAGAGAGAGAGAGAGAGAGAGAGAGAGAGAGAGAGAGAGAGAGCACGCAGCAGACATGTTTCATTCGTCTTGAACCAAGCACGTCTCTGTGGATCTCTGATGATGAACGTGGCCCGAAGAGCGCTTATGAACAGTGAAGCTCACAGTAGCGAACATGTTAAGATATGGTAAAGACGCGGGAAAAACGTATCCGCCGGCCGTGTAGGGGTTACTTCATTGATGCAAGTAAACAAAATTAGTCAAATATTGCAATTATATCATGAGACCATTCCTTCGCACATTTTGGTGTTTGATTCTGATTCAACACCCGAATAAATGTGGTAAATAAAATAGTTATTGAACAAAAATTAAGGGGCCATTTAAAAACAGCATCGAATTTGATATGTTAACGATAATGGCTATATTAGCCGTTTCCTTATAAGGAAACATTCAGAATACATTAACCGAACAGTTAGCGTTACTGCTGGTTTAAATTCATAAAAATCTTAGTTTTAAAATGATTTTTCAAGGAAGTAAATTTCTCAGATTTATCGATTGTTATCGTTCTTTTCAGTATTGATAGCGGTTTCCTTTCTAGGATTTTGTTTGAAGTAGTGTGGAACAGCGACGTCTTCATTTTGTCTTTATTCTTTCTTGAGTTATATGTGATATCCATTATAGTTGCTGCTACTAAAAGTCCTAAAGTGACATGGATTCTGTTATTTGGTACAGTTCTTTGTTTGCCAGTTCATGCGGTCCGAAAAAGGATGAAACCTGTAAGCCTTAGCGAGGACGGACACGTACAGGCTTCATTTGCTGGATGCCATTTTATTATTTATCTATCTTTAAATGTCTCGATCTGACGAGTCTATTTTAGAACATCTCGAATTTTTAGGTAATGTTTGGTTTTGTAGCAGCTTACGGTGTTGGAAGAAACTACACTTAGCGCAGCCTATTTTATGTTCAACCGATCAGATTAATTCTGAAAGACATCCAGCAGTTCTTGCAAATTCCGAGCACAATATCAAAAGGTAGAGTAATAATAATTATTAATAACTGGAATAAAATAGTATACTAAACTTTTTCAATTTGTATTCCGGGTTTCCTGCAAATTTCATCCAATCCTCAGTAGATTTTATTGTGAACTGAGTTTATTTTTCTGTTCCTATTTTCCAAAGAATACGATCGACCATGGTAATTGGAGGAAACACTATATTTGAAACCAGCAGTCCCTGAAAATACAGAGCTCTATATCTAGGGGTAGGGCAATAATCAGTTATGTACCATGCGTGATACACGCTTAGGCGATTATATATCTTTCGATACATGACTGACGAGGCAGATTTTTTCCTGCAGTAGGTTGCCATTTCTTTCTGCGTTAGACCAGTTGCCATCCAAGACAAGTTGCCGGTCTGTTCTGCTATTTACACATAGCCGTGGGGAGAAGAAGAAGATTCATATCCTACTCGTAAGTGGATGTAATGAATTCGACTGGAATTTGAACTCTGCTCTCCGACTTCCTCAGTCCGAGCATCTATCCATTACTCCACCGTACCTCTTAGGGCAATAATACTGATTAATAATTATGATAAAATGGCTTACTTTTTTCTCTATGTCCTCAGAGTTACATGGAAGTTTAATTCAATTTTCAACAGATTTCATTATTTATTCTATAAAATTCCTAAGCATTCTATATAATGTCGTGCTTCTTGCTTTGCTGGTAATAAATAATAATTCAGAACGTAGGCGATCATGGTTCTCCACAGATTCTTTTTCTTTATTATCTGTGAATTGCCATCACCTCTTGAGGAAAATAGTGGAATGGTTCCCGTTGTGTTTGGAATTCAGAATTGCCAGATAACACAGTCTACTCTGCTACATAGCTGGGTGGGTGGAGGTTGAGAATCGATGGTTTCATGCCTTTTCAAATGCATTAGGACAAAAGTAAATATAACAGTCAAGGACAGAATTCGAACTCGGTTCTTTGATTTCACTTTTCAAGCCGATTACCATTATATCAGTCACACGCTGAAGCAATAGCCAATATTTTAAACATGGACAATTGTCTGAAATAAAGCATTATCATTATTCCGAAAATTATTCAAATATCAGGTCATCCCATAAGTTCTGTCCGAATTTTGAATAAAGAAAACAAGTGACCAAATAATTACAGATTCAATCAACAATGTATTTTCCCTGATTATCTATGACTTCCTTCCATCTATTAACAAGCTTACTAATTCCATTACTGTAAAATTCTTTTGGCTTTGATTCGAAGAACTCACAAATGTCAGTTTTAACCACTTCTTGTGTTACAAAAGCCGTTTCATCCAAATGATTCTGTAAGCTACGAAACAAATGGTAGTCTGAAGGAGCAAGATCGGGAGAAAGGTGGATGAGGAATTATCTCCCAACCAAGTTCTTCGATCTTTTGTGACGTGATTCTTGCTGTGTGGGGTCGCGCATTCTCCTGATGAAACCTCACCCCATTTCAATTCACTAGAACACGTCTTTTTTTCCTCAAAGCTTGGTTCAAACGCTCTACTTTCTGACAGTATATTTGAGCATTAATTGTTGGAGTAGGTGGTAAGAATTTAAAGTGGATTATTCCTTGGCGACCCCACTAGATTGAAAGAAGCACCTTTTGCCCATGAAGTTCCCTTCTTGGCTGTGGCTGGGGTCCTTCCCCTTTACCAAGCCACTGTCTACGACGCTTAACATTTCGATAAAAGATCCATTTTTCGTCGCCAATCACAAGTCTATCCAAAAAAGGTGAAACAAGTTGGCGAGAATGGAGAGAAGAGCATATATCAACTCGGGATTTGAGGTTGTTTTCAGACAATTCAAAGGCACGCATTTTCCAAGTTTAGGAACTTTTCCAAGTTGTTGAAGATGACGATGAACAGTTGTATGGTTTGAACTGAGAACCACTGCCAATTCCTCAACTGATAAAGCAGGATTTTCTTCAAGGACTGCTTCAAGAAGCTTTTCATCAAACTCAACTGCACATCCGGTTCGATCTTCATCTTCAAGGGTGAAATCTCCACCTCTGAATTTTGCAAACCATCTTCTGCAAGTTCTTTCATTCACACATTCCTCTCCATAAACTGAGTGAATGTTTCTAGCCGCTTCGGCTGCTGAGTTTCCTTTCTTGAACTCATAAAGCATTATCTGCCTCAAATGATTCTTGGGTACTTCCATGTTAGCAGGGTTTTAATCGAACAAAATTTAATTTTATTGTTCTCTGAAATAAAATTTGATCAGTTTAAATGCATCTAAACATAAAAATAATGTTCAGCTCCATTAGACATTATAAAATACTCTTTAAATTTCGTTCATTTTAAAAAAAGTTAAAATTCGGACAGAACTTATGGTATGACCTGATAATTAACATCACGCTATTTCGACTGATGGCTCTGCTCCTAAGTGCTGCTGGCAGATGCAATAGGGTTGTATCTAAACTTCTTACGGCCGGATGTAGCGAGCCACTCGAAAATCTATCGCTACTCGGACGAACTACATTCCTTTTTCCTGCCAGATTTAACTTTCATGGTTAGGATACGCCATGCCACTTACGTAGTAGCAAACCACCCACATTTCCCCCGTATTACATCGGCGAGAAGTAAGTTCCATTCGAACAGCTTCTTCCCGCGAACCGCTGCTCTAGACTCCCAAGAGGATGTTTCCCCGATCACTACGATCTTCATGTTTAGTGTTAACCGTTATCTTCCCCTCCAATCTGTATAAACTGCCCCTTAATGTAACCCTCTACCTCGAGTGGCTCTAGGGCCTCGTGGAGGGCAAACCTTATTGTAAAAAAAAAAAAAATGATATATGAGTCCAAGACCTAAAAGATGCTGGGAACAGAAAAAAGAAAAGAAAAAGAATGGCCAAATAAAAAGCAGTCGTTTTTACTCGTTCAAGCCCGTGCCTGGAAAGACAACAGCTTTTCCCTTGTTTTCTTGTCGCCTCGTTCAAATGTTCGACTTTTGTGTATCGTTCTTGCTGTGTTCTCAGTAAAACAATATAAAAAAAAAGAATCAGTAGGCAACACTTGTTGCATTGATATTCATACAAAATTCGTTTTTTTTGCTTCCCGCATTCTTTTACGTTCCCAAACGGAACCACCACAGCTGTCTTTCTTATAGAGCTGAAAATTTATTATGGAAATCAATACATTTGCGATATCTCTCATGAGATATCGTGATTTCTTCAAAACGGCAAACATTTTCTTTTTCTATTCACATATAATTCTGACAGTATTTCTTCTTTTTTTTTTTTTGCTAACGTGGTTATTGTGCAAAATGCTGCCATGACATTTTCTTACTATGAAATGTCTCCTTGTTGCATGTGTTAGTAATAAGTTTTTCTAATACCGGTTCTCATACGATTACAGAAGTTAAACAATGTCGAGCCTGGTCTGTACCTGGACGGGTAACCGTTTGGGAATGCCAAGTGTTGTAAGTTTGAACGCGCGGGTGGCGAAATGGATAACAACTCAGAATTGGAAATCGGAGGGCCAATTTTCAATTCCAGTCCTGCTCATTATTTTCATTTAAGCGCAAATACCACCGGGAAAGGGATGAATCCACCTCTTCTTCCCCCAGCTGTAGGTTAATTAGTATGACCTGTATCAGTAAATCCTTATTATCTCCACAAAAAATTCTTACAATCTAAAAATATTTTCTGGCTTTACAGAAGCTGCAAAAAAAATCAATCATAGTTTTTTCTAAAAAATATGAATAATGCGCTTATATTAAAATTATTGTTCTACTAAAATGCCTTAAATATTTGTGAAGCTTTTTTTTACCGACAACAGAAAATAAAGGAATCAGAAGACAAATTGGAAAAATGTATTTAGAAACAGGAAAAATTCGTTTGAAACAAAAGTCTTTACGCTGAACTTCTATGCAATACCGTTCCTCCTAAATGACAGTGGATGTTATGCAATTCCCTTACAGATTAAGAGGAGACTTGAGGCAATAGAGATGTGGTTCTACAGAAGTATTCTGAGACTACTATAGCCGGGACATGCAAGTAACGAGCACGGTTGTACTTAAAATCAGAAAGAGATAATTTAAATTTCATGAGGAAAGAGGGCTTGGAGAATTTCACAATCACAGGAAAGAGGTGAGAGGAAAACATCAAGTAACCTTCCCGCGTTGTTTGGCTCTGTAAATATCCCGCGAAAGGTGTTGTCTGTTTGAGGTCGTACCACTTGAGGTACAACATCCATAATTCAAGATCTCCTGTTGAAAACGAAAAACTGCGAGAAACAACAACAACAACAACAACAACAATAATAATAATAATAATTGCAGCACAAGACCACTCTACTGTTATTACATACACAAAACATCAATCACTCAAAAATGTAGGCTTCATAGTGAACACTCGGAAAATGTGACTCACCTGATATTGATTGCAAAATGTTAGCCCCAGAAGAATATAAAATGCGCCATTATAAGGTATGTCTTTATGTTCACTGGTTATTGTGTTGAAAATATGGACACCATATTGAAGAAAATTAATACGAGCATGTGCCTTGAAAAACAATTGAAGAATTTGGAAAGCTCGCAATATTCTGGGACTATTATTCTGAGATAAACAGGGTGATAGACCATCGCTGTCCGGATATTATTGTCATATTATTGATATTGCCATACTAAAAGACCTAAATATAGAAAGCAAGGTGATTTAGAAAATTACAAACTACTCTGATTTGAAAGGGTTTACCAACTTTTTTTTTATTTCCTTGACCATCTGAGGATACCACACCAACTTGGAATCATCAAAAAATCGGCTCTTGGATATTGCGCAAATTTTGAGGAATGTGTTTCTATCTGATGTCCTTGTTGTCACTTGACAGATAACCTTATGTACTCGGTGTATAAAAAAACTATTATCTGTGACAAAATAATAATAATAATAACTGGTATGAACACCACCCAGACCCGGTTACGGAGATAGGACCTGTTACAATTCTATGGGACTACACAATACACACTGACAGAACAATCAAAGCCAACCGCCCAGATATTGTTATTAAAGACCACAAACAAAAACGGTGCCTCCTTATTGATATGGCAGTCCCTGCTGATATTCAAAAAGCTGTCAAAATACAAGGACCTTGAGATAGAAATCTCGAAAATGTGGCATATGGGAACATCAACAATCCCTGTTGTAGTTGGAGCCCTAGGACTGGTTGGACAAGATTGCAGTAGACTAATTGACGGGATTCCTGGAAGTCCATGCCTCAAGGAGATACAAAAAAAATTGTTCTGACAAGTACAGCCCACACTTTACGAAGGGCTTTATCTATGTAATTTTTATTTTTATTTTTTTTTGTCAGTGGAAATGTCATGATGCCATTTCTAACCTTAGGTCGCTGGGCGGGACCCGGAAAGAAATGTGTAAACGCCAGAAATCAAAGAAAATAATAATAATAATTGCTGTTCCGAGCAAGCATGATTTTTGTAATGATATCTGTAAGATTTTTTTACATGTTTTTCGCACAAGTGTTCCAGTGATCACTGCTTCTGTATTTAATTTCTTTTCTAGCTCTTCCTAAATTTTCAAAATGTCATATTTTCTTCGAAAAGAATTGGATACAGCCAGTCAATGCAAAGTACAACTGGCATGTATATTTTCTTAGGTCACAAGAGGTGACCTGAAAATAAACTTCTTTTCTTGTGCAAGATATCCGAAATAATAATAATAATAATAATAATAATAATAAGAAGAAGAAGAAGAAGAAGAAGAAGAAGAAGAAGAAAAAAAGAACTGGAAGAAAAATTTCGATGCATCGAAAATTTTCCTTGTATGGAGTACTTGCAGAAGAAACCTAAGAGGTTTCAGGTATCATGGAAGTGGTTTATGACCGGGTTTTTGAAAAAGGAAACCGAAGGAATGATCTGTGCAGCGCAGGAGCGTGTTTTAAGGACACATTCCATCAAGTAATTCATTGATAGATCAACTGATTTACCTTTGTACAGGAAGTTTAGGAAAGCTACTGGAAGTGTGCAGCATATGTGGCTGCACTTAATTGGTACAAAAAGAGTACAAATGACGCTATGACAAAGTATTCCTCGGAATACATTAGGATCTATACCGGAAATATGGTTTCGAGAGAGGAGACAGATTATATGAACACTAAGCACCGCCAATGGCCGAGAATAAGCAATTGAAACATGTGGGATATCACCCTTTCGTCTGACAAGTGTTGGGAGAGCAATCACTCTGATATACTTCTGCACAAGAGAAGTCATCATTTGATTCTAATAGATGTTGCGGTACCTTGTCATAAAAGAAAATTGGGAAAGGAGAGAAGGCGAAAATACAGAGGTACCAAGACCTGAGTTGGCAAATAAAAAAAAAAAGAAAAAAAGAAAGAAAAAAAAAAGAAAAAAAGTATTAAGCAGCATCTAAAGTTTATCCTTTCGTGGGACGCTAACTCCGGATTATTTTCAGTAAATTTTCTGTCTCGTTGGTCACCTTGGGGATACCTGGCATTATTGCAAGTTCGCAGGGAGCAATGCTGCTTGAAACAGCTCAAGTGCTGAGGAAAGTATTGTGTCTCAAATCTGCAGGTAAGAGCTGAAACATTAATCGACAAAACATCTTTGGATAGAGGATTTGATGATATCCCTGCAACTTGCCCAAGTAAAGCTGCTCCTAAACTGTCTCCTGTTATCTCAAAACCTTAAAACAAATGAGTTGCTACGCCTTGCTTTCCAGCTTGTTGGAAATTCTTTTCTGGATTTCCCGTCTTTAAGAACTCTGGTGAATCCTCTGATCTCTCGAATTATCGTCCTGTTTTTTAACACTTTTTGGTAAAATACTAGAGACTGTAATCAACCTCGAATTTGTCAAGCATCTTATTTCACATGACCTTCTTTTAGATGAACTTTCTTTCCTTTCTCTACGTCAACCGCCGATATGTTAAAGATTATAATAGAATTTGTTTATCAGGCTTTAGATAAGAATGGCGAGGCTCGGGTCGAACATTGAATATCCCTACCGCATCTGGTCTGGTGTTCCTGCCTTATATCTCTAGATTCTTGACAAAATCCAAAGAAGAGTCTGTAATATAATCGATCTTGACCTAGCATCTTGACTTCAGTCACGCTCCAATCGCCTTGACATATCTTCCCTCTGTCTTTTCTATAGATATTTTTACGGTAATTTTTCTGATGATCTTTCCTCTTTCGTACTTCGATCATATGAATTTAAATATACTACTAGATTGTTTTCCTGTTGAAATACCTCGATGCAACTGTAAGTTCTATTCTAATAGTTTCTTTTCTCACACTTTTTGCTTGTGGAACTCTCATCTACGTTCTTCAAGAATTTAAATACAGCATTAGTTGCCATTTTCCATCTTCTTGAAACCTGTTCTTTTATTGTACTTTCTCCTCACTAAAATCTTCTCGTTCTCTCTCATTCCCAGTAATTTCTTCGGTCTTGCTTGAGGTGAAATGATTAAAAAAAGGATATCAAATAAAATAATAATAATAATAATAATAAAGATAATAATAAATGACATCACACATTATGAAATGGACAAAGACATTTTTATGTTTATAAGTTTTTTCATAGATACAAATATTTAAGTAAATGCTCTGTTTATAATAAACAGTATTAACGACATTTACCCGCCTGAATGTCCGAGAATTGTAGTTTAAAAACAGTAAAATAGATATTGCTAACCGAAACGCTCCTCTGTGGCTAAATCGATAAAGCACGTCAGGCTATATGATGGCGCTGTGTATGATACAGGTTAGATTCCTGTCGGAGGACGCATATTTTCTATGAAAATTTCTCAGACATTCAAGCCGGTAAATGTCGTTAATACTGTTTATTATAAACAGAGCATTTACTTAAATATTCGTATCTATGAAATAGAACGTATAAATATAAAAATGTCTTAAAATAATAATATATATTATATAAAGATTAATTAAATTAAAAACAATAAAAATATGATGAAATACAGTTGTTCATTTACGATCAATATAACTATAAGCAAAGAATAAAGAATTGCCAGAGCAGCAAATTCGAATCAGTTAACAGCGAGGCCCAATTCTGGCGTATACATTTGTCTGCGCAGAAATATGTACTGTTTTGCTTAAAAAAAAAACTGAATAAAAATGAAATATAACAAAATGCGAAGGAAAAATGATCTTATGATCAGCACCACGTCGAAGTAAAATAAAAAGCAAGATTTATTTTTAATATTTTCTGTGTCTTCAAAATCTTCCTCCATTATTGTTTGGCTCTACCAAAGAAAATTGAGTCACGCGTCTTGTAACACACACGCACACAGACACATATACGCAATCACATATGCCTATAGGCAATGCCACTAATATATGTGTACACAAATATATATATATATATATATATATATATATATATATATATATATATATATATATATATATATATATATATATATATGTATA